GTGGGGGGGGGTTGGGGGGGGGGGGGGGGGGGGGGGGGGGGGGGGGGGGGGGGGGGGGGGGGGGGGGTGCGGGAGGCCTCAGGCAGCACCTATTTACCGGGAATTGCCTGGACCCATCCCATTAGCACACAACACTTATTTCTCCTTAAAACAAATATAAATAATACCCTGCATTGCAGTACCTCATAGGCTCCCCGACCCCTCAGGCCATGGAGGTCAGCTGTCTGCCCTGCCCGGCTTGTCAAGGCCTCCTGACTGACTGGGTCCTGGGCTGATGGTCAGCCTGTGGTCTCCCCACCCATGAGGGCCCCTCCTCAATAAGGCACCTTTTCTCTTCTGCTGGGATCCCCACCAGGTTTCTTCCTTCTCAATTCACCCCTTTGTTACCTCTTCTGCGCTGATTTTGTCACTGGGGCACCTCTGTCTACACTCACAAGTAGCCATCCATCCAGTCTGGCCACTATAAATGCCATCTTCCTAGCGACCCCTTAACCTGGCCTTCCTGTGGCAGCTCGGACCCTGCAGGCCTGAGGAATGCTACAGGCTCTAACGTTCAAATGGCTAACACAGCCACCTGTCCCCTCAGTAGCTGTCCCACGCCCAGAGCCTTAACCTATCATGGAGATGCTCCAAAGCCCCCCACTGCCATCTCCTTCAAAGCATAGACCACCCCTGCACACATGTGCACACGCATGTGCACACATACATATGCCCGCACATTCACCCACGTGTGTGCACCCACATGAATACACATGTACATGTGCTCACACTGCACAAGGCAGCTCTGCTCAGGGTGCCTGGTGGCTCCTCAATCCCTTGGAGTGGACCTAGCCCTTACAAGGAGAGGGAGGCCCATGACTGGGCCCCCATCCCCTCCCCAGGCTCCTCTGCTCCTGCCCTTCCCTCTACATCCTCCCACCAACCATAATTGTTATCTTTCTTTTCTTTTCTTTTTTAGTTTTACCAAAAAGTAATTCATTATCAGACTCTCACCCTATGCTTAGGTCTCCTTTCACTATTCAGAGACACATGGATATCTGTCAGTGTGTCCTTCTCGTGGCCATGTGCCTCCTGGAGGCCTCTGTCACCCCATTTTCTCTGAGAGGCCACTGTGAGGCCACTTGGCCCCCCAGCATCACTCTGGGGAGCCAGGTCTGAACTGAGGGTGTTGGGTGCAGAACACCATCGAGGGTGGTATTAAACCCAAGGAGTTGCTTGGAAAAGTGTCCTACATTCTTCTATTTCAGAACTCAGAATGCAAGAAATAGTGTCTATGGGGCTGGGCAGCACACCGTTCCTGGATATCAAGCCCAGCAACGCAGCCCTAAGTGATCAAGCTGCCGAGTACAACATGAATGGAACAGGTAAGGTGGCCCCAGCCCTCCCGCACTCTGCCCTGCCAGCGGGAACCCAGGCCCCAGAGCGCCAGGGCAGCACTTAGCAGGGCGGCTGCTGCAGGCAGAGAACCTGGCCAGTCTTCCTGAGGGCCCCGTCTGGCTCTGGCGTCCAGGCTGCACTTCTGAAGCAGGGGCCAACGACTTGCTTTCTGTCTCCTTCCAGAGTCAAGAGCCCACGCATCCACAGCTGTGCCTGCCTGCAACCACCCCACCCCCTTCAAGAGACCGCACTCCACCATCTCAGACAGCAGCACCTCCTCCTCCAGCAGCCAGTCCTCTGCCGCCCTGCACGTGTCCACCAGCCAAGCCCACTGGCCCTGGCCGCACGACGTCCATGCCTGCATTGAGGAGGACGAGCCGGAGCAGGAGACGGGGAGCCAGCCTGCACTACGTGAGTGCACTTGTGCGCTGTGGCCGCCTGCGCTCCAGCCTCTGACAGCTGATGTGGTTCGGGGCCAGTGTATGTGTTCATTTGTTTCCCTTGATTTTATACACTTCCAGTGTTTTCAAACAAATTAGCATGTTTCTTTTACTTTAAAAAAACCAACCTTTCACTTCCACCCAAAATGAAGTAACGGGACAGATTTAAAACAAATTTTTAAAAACCCACACAGACAAAACAAAGCCAGGAGAAATATATAAAATGAGAGATTTCAAAACACAGAACATCTGACAACAAAGAGCAGTGACCCTGAGAGGCAGAAAGATGAGGTGAGCCCTGCGGCTGCCCTGGTTTCTGCCTTGAGTGTCCCCGAACATGGTGCACAGACTCCCCATGTGGAGGAGACCTAGGTGGCGGGGTTTGCAGGACGGGGTGGGTGAGGCCTGTGCAGCAAGAGGCCTTGGAAGCCTGAAAGATGGTTCCCCTCCAAAATCCAAATCACGTGGTCAGCACAGACGTGAGAACCCCCAGAGCTGGGGAACCTCTGAAAAGCCGAGAGAGCACCTTCCACAGTCACATGGGCGCCTATCCCACCAGCTGGACGGGACATATGTAGTTCACAGGGTGCTGGGCGAGCCGTTGGAAGGGCCTATCTCAGGAGGAGGGAGCATTCAACTGACCCTTGCCCCCGATGCACCCACCAGATCATGAAGCAAGACCCAAGAGGACTCGTTTCCACGTAACCTCACTACATCCCAGGACCAAACTCCTGGAGATTTATAGAATCACAGAAGTATCCAGCACCCAAGAAGGTCAGTTCACATTCTATGACATCCAATCAGAGCAACTGGCAAGCAAAGAAGTAGAAAACAAACCACAATGAGAATAACCAACCCGGCAAAACCAGCCCGAAGCTGACATAGACGTTAGAATTATCCATTGTGGCCTTCAAACCATTGTTATAACCATTCTTGATGTCTAAGAAGTTAAGTAATGACGTGGAAGAGATGAAAACAGCAAGAAAGGATATAGACGTGCAAAAATTGCAATATTTGAGATGAAAATGAGCCCAGATGGGGTAACAGAAGAAAATGTTACGTGAATTTGAAGACACATCAGTGGAAAGTGTCCGAAGTGAAACACAGAGAGGCAGAGAGAAGGAGGAGGGGCACATCCTCGAGCTGTCGGACAACAGCATCCACAGACGTGGGGTTCTGTGCTGTTTGTGAACTGAGTGATATCACTTGAAGGCAAATTGTGATCTGTTACAGTATAAAACCTAAAACAACCACTAATGCAGTGGTTCTCAACCTTCCTAATGCCGCGACCCTTTAATACAGTTCCTCATGTTGTGGTGACCCCCAATTTCATTGTTACAAATTGAACATAATTAAAGCATAGTGATTAATCACAAAAACAATATGTAATTATATATGTGTTTTCCGATGGTCTTAGGCGACCCCTGTGAAAGGGTCATTCAACCCCCAAAGGGGTTGCGACCCACAGGTTGAGAACCGCTGCACTAAAGTAAAGCAAAGAGACAGCTGAAACACCAACGAAGGAGACAAAATGAAACTGTAAGAAAAAAGTCCAAAGAATGTAGAGAAAGAAGAAGAGGGAACAAAGAACAGAGGGCTGACTGGTCAGAGGCGGACCTGTGCTCAGCGTGTCAATGACCACACTGAACATAATGGGCACCGGCAGCTTTTGGTGAGCGACACACATGTTCTCTCTGACTGGTGTGTACACATGTAACCTCACGGTGCACACACATGTCCAAAGATGTCTGTTTGTACTTTAGAGGTGTGCACGTTCTTATGTCGCTTACATCCCAATGAAGCAGTATTTTGCACAACTTCCACGTGGAGGAAGGGGTGTGTCTGGAATTCACCATGGTTTGTTATTGGCGTGTGGCCTCCTGCCCAGATGCGGCCCATCCTCAACCACACTGCCTGGGACAAGCACCTTCCCAAGCCCAAAATGTGTCATTGCCAGCAGGACAACATCTGAGGGCTCTGCAGCTGACTCCAAGCCATCTCTGTGTCCGATGGAAGGCATTGCGCATGAACCCTGCCGGGGAGCGCAGGTGGCCAGGTGCTGCACACCTGATCAGAACCAGCAGCAGCCACTGCAGGCTGGGCCACCGGAGTACAATGGGGACATGTGGCATTGCCAGCCCAGAGCGACTGCACTTCCTGGACTTATACTTCTGGCTCCAGGACTGCAGGTAGCTCGCATCTGGGCTGGCGCAGCCTCCAGTCAAGGCCGAGTCTGAGGCCGGGGAGCCCAGTGTGAGGACAAGGTGGAAGGGCCTGTGTTAAGGGCTCATCTTGGCCATCCTCAGCTCGGTGCCCAAACAGCACTCGTGATCCTGCAGAGAATTACAGGGGTAGGCCACCAGCCACCCATGCAGGAGGTTGAGACTGCCCAGGCAGTGGCCTAGAACACCCGTCTCAGCTGTGGGGAGTGACCCCGGGCCTGGACTAGGGGTCAGGCCGGCCCTACAGTCCTGCAGGGGAGATGGTGGGAGGGGGGGTGCAGAGGGGAAGGGAAGGGTGTCAGGTCTTGTTTGTCCTGTTCTGGCTCCTTGTTTAAGGGTTGGGGCCTTCTTTGGTCTCAGTTTCTGCTTCCCCTTTGACTTGCATATCCAGTGGTTACGGAGCCCCCAGCATGAGCTGGAGACCACCTACTGGTGGAGAGGTTGTCTGGGCACTGCCCACCCTGGTCTATTAGCTACACTGGCTCAGAGAAGCGGGTCAGGAAACACTTGTCCATGAGCATACGTGGTATCTACCTTCCTGCCGCGCCATCCTGCTCTGACCCAGCCTCACATGCTGCTAGAAGCTCGCACATGGAGCAGAAAACATCTAGCTTTTGATTGACAGGCTTTGAGGCCCCTGAGCATAGAAGAGGCCTGGCAGCTCTCACCCTGATGGACCCGCCCTAATTCCGCTCCTCTCCACAGGTGCCAAGAGCTCGGAGTCTTCCCAGTGCAAGTCGGGGGACAGCAGCCCTGGCCAACCCGAGCTGTCACAGCCCCTGTTCTCCGATAAGGGCCCCCAGAGCACATCTCCCCCCCTTCCACCGAGGGACCCGCAGCCACAGCTTGACGGAGGCCAGTTCACCACGACCGTGAGTGTCCCCTCTTCTGAGACCCCCCCACGAGAGGCCCAGGTGCTTAGGGCGCAGTCAGCACCTGCCCAAGTGATGCTGGGCTGCCCAGGACCACACAGACCCCACCCCGAGGGGTCTTTATGCACGTGAATCTGCTCCCCGCCCGCACTAAGCACTGCACGCTAGGCAGGCTGGCTAGAAACCAAAGGCCTGGCTCAGTCCCTGGACACTTGGAGTCCCTTAGCCAGGGTGGTTTTAGGGCCTCCTCACTGCTGAGATTTGGCCGGCCACCTGGAGGCCTGGTCTGTACCATTTGGCATTCACTGGTTCCATGCAATGGTGCCCCCACTCGAGGTCCCCGCAGTCCTGGGTGTAAGAGGGCTGCTGGTCAGCAGAAGCCGTTTCCAAGCAGCCTGCCGAGGAGCAAGCTGAAATCGGAAGATGCAGGGCGGAGGGTCAGCAGAGGCTCTGCCTGGAGTCCAGCCCCTCCTGGGACACTCACAGGACCCCCAGTCCTGCCCTTCTGAAGGGATCACATACCTGGCAAATCAGTGTTTCCCCAAATTCATACAAATGTGAGTTTTTATCTTGGGAGGGTGTCTGGGCCCAGCCTGTTGTAGGAGGAGGCCCCGAACATTGCCCGGGATGTGCACTCAGACGTCTTCCTGAAGGGGAGGGACTGATGTGGCCAGGAGAGGGGCCAGTCAGCACACAAGTTACCTTTCCAAAGAGGCCTTCTCGCAGGACGTGCTGGGCCTGTGGGGTCAGTGCCTTCGCCCACCCCACATCATCCCCATGCATCTGCAGGCACATCCCCAGGGCTAGAGAGAGGCCCTCAGACCGCCTCCTGGAAGCGTCAGAAGGGAAGGTCCGGCTTTAAGGGTGCACTGAGCTGAGAGTCGAGGGAATGAGTCTTTAGTTCCCTTGCCCCAGATCATTGGTGAGGCCCAATGACGCTGGTTCTGTAGTGACTTCCCTCCCTTTCTGTCAGAACAACACCCCTCAGGTCTTCGGCGTCTGGACAGCGGTTTGAGTGGCAGGCAAAACACTCTGTAAGTAACGGTTTTCCCAGCTTCCCCAATGGACCAGGGGTTTTCTCTCGCCCACCGTGTTCCCTAAGGCGCCGGGCACCCCGCCACCCCCAGGCTGCCTGACTGAGTCTCTGCCTGTTGCAGATGCTTCCAAATCGTGATCGCACAGCCGGCATTGACAGCACCACTAGAGGGCGCACCAGCCAGGCAGGGCTGCTCCCCTGCTTCTCCATCTTCCCATCTGACCTCCCTCTGTCTCGCTGCCTAAACCCCCTGGCGACCAGCAGACTCAAGAGGCCAGCATTGGCCACTCGGAGAGCTCAGGCCTTTGTCCAACAGGAGGGCCAGGCCCTCAGCCCCTGCTGCAGATAGTCTCCCCCAGAGGCCCAGCCAAGGCAGTGGAGACCACCCATCCCGCCCTGCCTCCAGGGTGTCCTCCAGAGCACCCCCTATCAGCAGTGTCTCAAGGGGACCTGGCACCCTCTCCTGAGAATGGGGCCTCCCTGACACCCACTCCCACCTGCCCGTGCCCTGTGCCTCGCCAGCAGTTGTCCTCAGACAAGGCTGTCACTCATTCTGCCCAATACTCCGTGCGGGAATTCCATGCACACTTCGAATCTACGTCGCAGCAGGCACAAGGTGCTGCACGGGCACCACTGCCATGGGTGGGAGCCACAGTCCAATCGTCAGGAGGACTTGGCGGCAGGTTCCCTGGGTGTGAAGCCACTTCCTCCACCAAGATCTCAGGCCTCCGTGTTCTGGGCGGGCAGTGAGGGAGGCACAAAGGAGTGCAGGAGACATCTCGGCCTGAGCTCCATTCTCAGACTCCGGAGAAGAACCCCTGCCCACCCCTCCCGCCATCCCCACCACCTCCCACAGTTTCCCTGCACTGACCACCTTCTGTGTGTGTGTAGGTCCCATAGCCAATGACAAGTCTGCAAGTCCATGTGAATCCCTTGTGCCTATAAAATAGACTGTTTTCCACAAAACACATGTGAAATCATCTAAGTCAGTGGTCGGCAAACTGCGGCTCGCGAGCCACATGTGGATCTTTGGCCCCTTGAGTGTGGCTCTTCCACAAAATACCGACTTCTGCGCATGGGCCACGAAGTTTCAATCACACTGTACGTGCGCGCCCACATGTGGTATGGGCGCGAGGAGGCCAGGGGAGGTAACAGGGTCATTCTTTTGACAGCTCTGAGACCTGGATGGGATGTGGCTCCTCCAGGCAGAGGAACCTCAGCCTGGACCTGTGCATGAGGTCTGAGGATGAAACACAAGCTGGGCGCTCCTGACACACGGCCCCCAGCCACGGGATTCTCGGTCACACGCCCCTTGGGACCTAAAGTCATTCCCATCATGCCCCTCACCCCCCAGCCCAGCCTGTGCATGGCCAGGCCTCCGCTTCGTCCTTCCTGTATGGTTCTTCCACCTCCGTCCAGCACTGACACCCCATGCGGCCCAGCCTCTCCCACTGTGGTGGGAGCACACAGACCCCCTGTTCCATGCGGAGGCCCAGACACACGTGGGCCTCAGACAGGGTGAGCCCTCTGGGACTGTGTCTGCCCACCTTCCAGGCAATTCAGGCCATGGGTGATGGTCCCCGGGTGGGGCCCCACAGAGATGTGTCCCAGATGCAGGGTGAGTATAATGGGACCCTCAGTACTGTTTCCTGTGTAACACGTTGTATGTAGAGTGATACTAGAGTTAGGCTCAGGGGCCACAGGTGATCCCCTGTGAGCCTGGGTGGAGGCTGCACCCTGCTTCCCAGGTAGGCGCCAGGATGGGGCAGGGGCACGGCAGGTGGGCCTGCAGCTCTGAGGCGCCAGTGCTGGAGGCCGGTTGGTATGGACATTGCCCGAGAAGACCACCCCCACCAGATGAGTTGAATCAGAAGCAGGGAGAGCCTGGGAGACGCCAGACCATAATGAGCTTCCTGCCACAGACATCCCCGCGCGCGCCCCACCCCTCAACCCCGTCCCCACCACTACATGGACCTCCAGGACCAGGAGCGGTGGTGGCAGAGGCCACGCCTCTGTGATTTGCCAGCCGTGGAGACTGTTTTGTTCCATGTTTAGTGCTGACTTGTCCCAAACTTAGGTACAGAAATAAATAGGATGTGTTTTTACCATGTGGCTGCGTGTTTCTACAAGGTCTGTTGTGTCCACGGACATCTCCTGCATATGTCACCTACGTCACCAGGAAGCCCAGCTCCTGCAACCTGAGGGGACGTGGCCGGGACAGCAGGGCCTTGCTTTGAGGTCCACATCCACGTCAAACACCTTCTGGTAAATCAGGCGAAGTCCCACTGCTCACACACCCCTCACCTGCCTGACTAGTGGGTTCTACCCTGGGAGCTGAGGCCTTCCCACCCCCCATCCCCCACCCCCCTGAGGGAGGCTGAGAGGGGACAGCTGCCTGCAGGACCCTGAGGGAGCGTCCACACCCCCCACGCACTCCCTCACATGCCACACACCTCAGCAGGTCCTTTCCTCCCACTGCCCTTCTCTGCCTCTCCTCCCCTTCTCTTGCTCTTTCTCTCTTCCTGTCATCTTTCTCTGTGTGTGTCTCTCTGTCTCTGTATCTCTGTTCCAGCTGTGACCCTCCCAGCCCAGAGCTTGTCCACGTGGCCTGTGAGCTAACCGCTCCAGCCCTGCCCCAAACGATGGTGGTGTGTGTGTGTGTGTGTGTGTGTGTGTGTGTGTGTGTTGGGGGATAGGAGGGAGATAGTCATTTAATAATTATTTAACAGCCATCAATGCCCAGGCTTTGTAGGGAGGAAATATTTCTCCACCCATTTTAGTAACAAAAGGCAGATTAACAAGAGAAAAGCAAACAGGTTTATGTAACATAAATTTTAGGTGCCATGGAGCCCTCACAGGAAACGAAGACCCAAAGGGGATAAGCCCAAGCATTTCTCTATTAAGTTGAGTAGAGGCAACTGTGGGAAAGTAAAGGAAGACAAGTTACTTAATGAGGTCTGTTTGCTCAGATTCTCTGGCCTGACCCCCTCCCTCCTGGTGCAGGAAGGGTGACTTACATGCAGCTTTATTTTATTTTTTTAAATATGTTTTTATTGATTTCAGAGAGGGAGAGAAAGAGAAACATCAATCAGAGAAATATTGATCGGCTGCCTCCTGCATGTCCCCTATTGGGGGATCAAGCCCACAACCCAGGCATGGGAATTGAACCAGCGACCTCCTGGTGCACAGGACGATGTTCAACCAACTGGGCCACACCAGCCGGGCTCACATGAAGCTTTAGCTCCTGCTTTTAGGAAGAAAGGGGGAGGTTAGCACCTGCTATTGTTCACGTGCCTTTAGCTCAAAATAATCCTGATCCCAACGTGGCATATTTGGCACATCGTATTCTGCCTCCCTTCAGAGTGAAGAGTTGACCACCACATCATGGCTCCCAGGGCCTCCCATCCGACCTGCAGCAGCGCCTGCCTCCTGGGTCTGTGGTCAGCGATGGGGACACTGCAGGGGCGAGGGAGGGTGCTGAGCCTGCATCTCCCAGCTGCTGTCAGGCAGGCCCACAAGGGATTGTCTGCTTGTCCTCCCAGCTCACTCAGACCATGGCTCCCTCCCATGAAAGGGGCGGGGGGGAGCACAGGCTTCACTGGGTCCTTGGAGAGAATAAAGGAAGAGAAGGGACGAAGCAAAGTGCCAATGCCTTATGGGGCTGGCACAACAGTTGTCAGAGGTGCCTACCCCCATCCTTGGTACCAGTCCCTATTCCCAGAAGTAAGGCCAGGGGGACTCCAGCCCCCAGAGGTTCTGTGAAAGGTTTGTTAGCTCAAGGCTGACCTTGTTCTGTGCTCCTATAACTGTGGACGGGGTTAGAGCTGGGGCAGATGCGCTCCACCAGGAGACTGCCCTGGGACCAGCTTACTGCAGCTCCCAAGCACAGGCCACCCACCCCTGCGGTGGGCACAGGCGGCACTTTTCTGGGGCCCAGACCTCCCCTGACCTAACACTCAGCTCTGCTTTCACCAGCTGAGCTTCACGAAGATATGCCGGCTGCCGCCAGACACCTTGCCCAGAAACAAACAGGCCTCCAGGACCAAAATAACCATCAGATGACACAGGGCTGGCCAGCCACCTCCCTCCCAAAGGCAAGCTGCTCCCAGCAGCTGCAGCTAAAAATAGTGGCAGGCATACACGTGTCTTCGGGGGAATCACAAGGGGAGAGCCCTGTCCTGCCATTGCCACCGCAGGTGGGCAGGATGAAGTCACTGCGCTTTGCTTCTGCCGAGGCCCTGGCGTCCCACCCCCAGGTGGCCCTGCAGAGCCTGGACAGCGTGGCCCACAACCTCTACCCACTCCTCTTCAAAGCCAGCTACTTGCTGGAGCGGGCGGAGGTGATCCGCGCTCTGCTTCAGCGGTGGCCACTGGAGGAGTTCCGGCTGGGCGCGCTGCTGGGGCCCAGCACGGACCACGCAGGAGACCTGCGAGACCGGGCCTGCAGGGCCTGCCTGGAGGCCTGCC